TTTTCACAACTGTCTCTCCATGAGAAAGTTGCAGTTAAGAAAGAGGTCGTTTAACACCTGATATTCTAATATCTCAGCCAGGCATAAGCAAGAACAAGAAATATATTTGTAGCTTTAATTCTGAATGGTACAAACGGAACAGTTGGCTTTGCAGCTGTGAAGTAAAAAATGCAGTTTTGCTTCCCGTGTTTGCTGTTTGGGGGTGATGTAACATGGACAAAAGTGGTTTTAGAAATATACACAAAATGAAAGAAAAAACTGAAAAGCATGAGAAGTCAAAGAAGCACGCTAATAATGTAGTTTCACTGTCACTTTTAGGAACCGTAAGTATTAAGTAGAAACTTAGTGAGGCATACAGACTTTCAATCGATGAGTATAATATAAAGGTTAAAAAGAATGGATTTCATTTTTAAATGAATAGATTAAGCTTGAACAGTAACAATTTAGGTTACAGTAAGTAAAAAAATGTTTGATTTTGTTCTTTTAGGATTTTATCAAGTTTCTGAATAAATTTTCTTTTTATACATGTTTGTTTCCTTTTATACAATTTTAAAACAAAGGCTACAAATTTTCTGGAGCAGCACCCCCACTAATTTTTGCTGCGAGCCGCCACTGTTTATTTCTAGACCAACTCCCTTACTTGCGTCAGTTAAAGTTTGTGTGTTTTTCTTTATGGTATCTATATTATCACCCAGTAGATTCACATTATCAGCATAGACCAAAAGCTGATGTGTCCTGTTTAATTTCAACCCCATCTGGTTTTCCTTGACCTTCCTAATGGCATGCTATGATGGGAATATCCACTATGTCAGGTGTATTTGATATACATAACGTTTCATTTTGAAAGTGGATGAAGTTGTTGAAATATTGAGTATGTCAAATATACCCCAGACAATGGATGCTGTCCACCATAGTACGGGCACAGCCCTTCAGCCTGTTTCTTATCACTGACCGCGAACTCGCAGTTGGCAATCAACTGTTACTTTCAGGTTAGGTGGAATATCAAAGGTCAGACTGAGGTTCTAGCCAAAACATCAGGCTACACAGGGAAGAGAATGCTAAAAATATGACATAATAATTGACAACAGGGACACCAGGTTAAGTGACATGGTGACAGGTAAGAATTAGATGGGTGACCACACAATTTGACTCTGCCCTCCTGCTGCATAGTACGCCAATAGGATGAGGTATTGGTCTGACAGACCGCCATGCACACGCACGCATGACACACACAAACACGAGGTCTGACAAAAAAGTTCGTGAATTCGCCATTGTATGCTTGCCATGGCAATAGTTGACAAAAACCTTGGTATGGTTGGATGATGTTGGCATATCAGCATATCCCAGCTGTGTTGTTGCTGTTGATCTACAGCAATCTCTTTCTGAGTGGCTTCTATTATTGTTTGGGTGTGCCACTGTGAGAATGTCAGAGCTTGAATTAGAGCATTGTCTGTGAGGCAGTTTTTATCTAGTAAAGAAATAACTCTGCTGGAATACCCCTATTCAATTTATCTATCCCCAGTGACTTCTTTCTGTTTCCGAAGATAAAGGAAATATTGACATTGATGACATCAGGAACTCTGAAGGCCATTCAACATAACCAGTTCCAAAATTGTTTTGAAGGGTGGACTAGGTGGTGGCATTGGTACATAGCTTCCCAAGGGTAGTACCCTGAAGGTGACCACAGTGATATTTAGCAAGGAGATATGTAGCACTTCTACCACAATGACTTCACAAAATATATTGTCAGACCATGTACAAACATATATCAGTGATGTATGGTCAATTACATTTACCCCGATGATTACGTCAGAAATCCTGGTTTTTAACTCAACACTGACATTGCCAATCGCTGCAGAAAATGTCCGCAAATTTGATTTGACTTCATTAAGAATTTATTGCAACAGTGTCTCAGCATGTCACGACACACATCGCAGGACAACCACAATCTCGATCAGTGGTTCCTGTTTGCGCCCATAGGACAATGTGGCTGTGATCTCCCCCTATCAAAATTCAACATAAGACTCACCACCAGCTGGAATGCACGCTTGGGGTCAGGTGACACCACAGGGTCCGACATGGTCCGTCTGATGGATGGTGTTTGTTCTGCTGGGTCCTGTGAATTGGCTTTCTTGAGGGCAGCCCACCCTAGTTTGAGCAGTTGACTGTCTGAATCATCATCCAGTATATCATCTGCCTGTGAACTTGACTTCATCTGGAAGCAAGTTTCATACTGCTCTGTTCAAACTGGAAAAGTTCGTGGCTTAATTACAGTTGAACTAACCAGAGACAGCTCCTATGAATTTCAGTGATGGAAAGCAGACAACCTCAGTGCTCTGTCTCCTGCATCTGACATGTCCTCAGTCTTGGTTCCTACCCCTCCAAAATTATCCAGTGAACCAAACAATAAACTTTGTAAATGGGAAAACATCTTAAAATGTTTATAAAATTAATTTAATCCCATGCATAAAATTAATGGCATAAACAATAGTGTTACTGGATGCATGAACAGCTGTAATTTAAAATGTGAATCATTTACTGAAAAGAAAAAAACACAACTTTAAATTTATGTAAAGAACTTAATATTTTGATGACAATCAGCCCTGCCTTACATTCACTTTCAATATATTAAGCGCACAGGGTAACATTTCTACACACAATAAGTTGATGAATAACCCACAGTTATCAGAATTTAATACACTATTCAAATCATATTCACTCAGAACAGAAGGAAACAGGGCTCCTGCAGCTGAGGCCTNGACGTAGAAACCGATCCCCAGAGCCACAGGAACTTTACTGCAAGACAGGCATATGTAACGATGACTTGGCGCAGATAAAGTCGNCACCAGTCAATCCATGCACTGCATGGTGTGAGTACTATGCTGTTTTATGTCTGTGTCTTCAAACTTCTCTCTGAATAGTTGGAGTCAACTGCAACATTTAATGTCTGTCATTTAGAAGTTTATACCTAGCTGAGCAGTTACACATTGATGAAATAGAGTCTTCTTTTTCATGCATTATGCCAAGGAACCCGTTAACCCTTTGATGCGGTCATTTAAATTCCGCGGCTGCGTCTCCTGCGGTAATATATTCAGCCGGCCATTTAAATTTTGCTCGAAAATAATTTATTCATCATTGTTCTTAAATTCTATGAGATAGGAACNCAAGGTTTTGCTTGTCAACTTTACTATTATTTAGCACTGGCATGGGTATGCCGAGATGGTCAGTTATGTCTGTGTACATCACATGTGATCCAGGATCCACCTTCTTAATATTCTGTTTTCTCAGAAATTGATAAATACATTATGTTCATTCTCATAGCCGTGCTTGCCACTACAATATTTACATACAATATTCACAATATCATATGCAAGTCAGAAAACTTTCAACACACATGTTCACTGCATAAAATGTAACATACAAGAACTGTGTCATAGCCAGATTCTGCTTGATGGAGGCAAAAGAGTAATAGAACTAACACTAGACACGTCTTTGCCAGAAAGTGACTGCTACAGCCACCAACTTTTACCGTTCACTGAGCATTTGCAAGGTGTTGAGTCATGTGAATATCTGCCTTAAGCATGCATATAACATAACCTGACACACTTATTAAATGAGTAAAATGTTTCACATGCCTTTAAATTGTCCTTATTAGTCAGAACACCTTATGTGGGGAATATTATAAACAGGATTTAGGTACATCACACTTATCTTCATATTTTTTGACTTACTGAAGTAACCACCATAAAAGGGAGCTTACTAAATAGGAAGCATCATGTGTGCGTGTGTGTGTGTGTGTGTACGTGTGTATGAATGTGTACTGTAGATTCTGCTATGAAATGGCAATGTTTTACTGTACAGGGTATATTTCTGCACAAAAGAAAATTTTCTGGGATGTGATATTGTGTTTTCTAGACCCTGACCATTTATAAAGTTGGTACATACCTTCTGCTGTTGAAGGAATATCTCACGCTCATATCTCATACGGCGCCATAGCTCCTCATCTTCCATCTCAACTTCCTCCAAACCCTCATTGTCAGAATCCTGACGGGGCAGGTCCCTGTCATCTGTGTTATCTGAAGAGATATCAAACAGCAGGAATGCAACATTGTTCTGCATGTTCTCCATAAATAATTTTCAGTTATTAAAATATACATTTTAAAGGAGAGTGTGTGTGCGTGTTGCAATAAATGTGGTCACACTTGTTCTGTGTCTGTGGGACAGTGGAAAAGGCAAAAAAATTGGCTCCATGTACAAAATTCAGTCACTTACTGATGTTCCTCCAGTGGAACTTGCGTTCACGTCCACCACCTTCAGAGTGCAGCTCACCATCCTCCAGCAACATCTCCTGCAGAAAACGCACCTCTCGACGGTCTTCATCCAGTAGGCGGCGCCTGAACACAAGCAACAGGAGACAGAAATATCACTTGTGTACTTTAGCAACCCATGCAAGTCACACCCAACACACTCACATGTATATTTTGTCAAGCTGCTCCTTCACTTTGCGTTGGTCCAGTTTCTCAGCATCTCCTTCCTCAGACTCCAGAGTGTCTAGTCCCTGCTCATCTTCATCAGCGCTCTCCCACTCTGATTCTGACAGCTCAGCTTCATCCTCAAAGAACTCTGCCACTGCTTGTCCCTGCAGCTTGGAGGTATCCACCTCATTCTCCTCTGAGTCATACTCCACAAAGTTAGCTTTGCTGACATCTGGCGCCTCAGATGTCGTATCACTCTCGACATCTGACTCATCTGGGAAAGAGTCACACACTTATGCAACAGTTCATCACAAGCAATGCACAACACCTGGCATTTCTGTCACAGCAACAAACTTGTTTTTGTGAACTTTCAGCAAAGAACATTCTATACAAGTGTTTTTATATAGGGTCTATATATAGTGCATACAAATTCAATAAGTACAATCCCTGCCATTCTGTAACAGAAGGGATTATGACGGAGGTATTCGTGTGCAAGATTTCCACATACACGAATGACACAAGGCACCAAGATGCAGCATATTCCCTTTGCTTGGACAAAATATGGTTTCATGAAGAGAATAAGAAAATAAAAGTTATCAAATAAAGGATCATTTGGCAGTAGGCCAAGCGAGGGAAGATATAGCAAGAAATGTGGACATAGAAACAAGAGGGAGGATTTATAGAAGGACAGAGTGGAGTTGTCCTTGTGGAAACTCAGTGGCTGATGATTATTATTATTCCCTTCTAATTCTCAGATATTTATAGAGAGAATTTCATCAGTTATGACATAACTTCAGAAGGTTGTTCCTGAGGTTATCTTGAGTGAAAAATGCTGTACCAAGATGGATACCATTCTCAACAATTAAAGAACTGTGGATAGCAAAAAATGGAGTGTCAGCTGAAATGTGCAGGTGTTACTGCACAAGCACACACTAGAATGCAGGTCTGCATACATCCATATTACAATAGCAGTACGTGAATCAACACTTTTCTGGTTACTGAATTCGTCACAGGATCTGCAGAAGTGGCCACCATGATTATCAGACCTCAACCTCTCTGACTAGCATGTGTGGGGGTAGGAGAAAGAGCTTGTTAATTAACATAAGGTGGACACATATGAAGACTTAATTTGTTGCGATTCTGATCCAGGCACACTCATTAATGATCAAAAATATCTTTGCCGCATTACACATTATGTTGTGAAATGGGCAAGAATGTGGACTGAAGCTGAAGGCAGACATATTGAATATTTGTTATAGAAAAGAATGTCCAGGCTTGTAAAATCATGTACAAGCATTCAGTGTCTTCTTTCGTGACAATAAACGCGTCTGTCATACTCAAGCAATATTAATTTTCCCTAGCCAAGGATATGTAGCCACAGAGAACTACATCCACGTTCATACAATATTTTTCACTCAGGATCACCTGAGGAATAACCCCCCTGAAGTTATGACACAAAGTTGTGAAACTCCAATCTGTAACACTGGAAACTCACACATGATGTCACAGAAGCCTGAACCCACTCAAGATTCTATAAATGAAACAAACTGTCAGTGCCCGGTGGCACATCTTGCCCCACCACCTACATGTGAAGGTCAGCGACACCAGTGTGTGTGATTGGCTTACAGACATGCTGTCTTAAGACAATTTTGGTATGGTGTTTGTCTTATTGGCCAGAAAAATTAATATGAAGACACAACTTTGGAGGTGCAGATTGAAGAGAATATTAAAATGGATCCAAGGGAAACACAGTGGACAGATAACAGTAGACCTGCCAGGCCTTCCTTCACCTGAGAAATACAATTTGTTGTGCTTCTTATGAGCTTTTGTCTGCACCAGTTCCTCTTCTTCATCGTCTGTAGACGGCAACTTCAGTCCACACCTGACAGAAAGAACACAAATTACAATGGGCACAGGTTCAATCTATAACATATTTGTACACATCTGAGATTCCTGTGGCAGGATTAAGATTGTGGCCTTCTAGGATGTGGCACTATGAAGTTTGATAGATTGGTATTAGCATGCTGGAGGAACATGCCATCTACATTGCATCATATGGCAATTACTACCTCAAAAATGACATAGCAACCAAAGCTTACATTTCTTCCTTCGCAGTATATTTTGATATACTGAATTACATTTAATAATGAAATGTAATTGTCTATTCTCTGTAATAAAAGACATTTTACCCCCAATTCAATACAAACTCAAAATATGAAAGCTCAACAAAGTCTGTTCTGCTGTCATCAGTCACGCATTCTAGACTCCATCAAACATGCTGAGATGTGGTATTGGTGCAAGACAAGTGTGGGAGAGAGTACACTCACTTCAGTGGGCTCTCAATGGGCTGAGACTGTGCTTCATCCTGCTCAAGGCTGCGCAGGTTCACGGGCTGAGAAACGAACTTCCCTGAGCACAGACCTAACAGCTCATCCTCCAGGCCTGTTTGACTTCTCTCCAGCTTAGGATCCATGTCTCCTGCAAGATAACATCATGGCCAAACAGCACACTGTAGCAGTTAACACATTAGCCAGTTGCTGTGCGTTTCTCAGTCCATACACATGTCTAATGTATAAGCTGGTGACACAAACCTGTGAACTGGCCAGAACAGAGTCCCATCAGCTCCTCCACGATGTCCTGCGTGCTTGTTGGTTGAAGCTCATCAAACAGTTTCTTGGGCACACAAGCAGGCATGCTGCTGAGTACCTCGGACTGAAACAGAATGTTTAAATATAAATCACATGAAGGATGAAGTCTGAATAGTTTCACAGAGGTCACACACCTCACCTGTGTGGATGGTGAGTCTTTAAGTGACGTCAGGTTGGAAACAGGCGAGATAAGGTCCAGAATGTGTCTTCTGCGGTCCATAATTGGCGTGACCTGTCTTCTCACCACTCCAGGGGGCTGGTATGGCAGGATCATCTCCAGATCTGAGTCTCCTAAAATAGTAAAAGCAATTTAACATGGAACAGGCAGCCATGTTTACCTGTACCAGTTCTTCAGTTACTGTTATGAAATGAATGCTGCACAAATATTCCATACAGCCACTACGATGTTTTACATCCCACGAAATGCACTGCATCGTGTGGCTTCCACTTCCAAAGTTCACTGCCACCACACAGGGATCTGTGATGACAGAAAATTCAGAAGTCCAAAGCAGAAGTGGGATGACCTCTGACATGAAGTTTACAAGCCTCATAAGACCATCTTCAGGAGGAAGTTACACCTAAATTTGTTAAAAAAAAATACCAGGATTGTATACAGAGTGTAAATCTGTAAAGGTTATTATAGTGATTCTTATTCTTCAAGCCAGTTCATCTTTTAACTGTAAAATTAAACACTGAGAGGGAACACTTGCACAGAAGGCAAAGACAAAGGCAAAGTTGCCCCTGTACTTAATTTACTAAGCATCATGCCATGAAGATATGTACAGGAGCAAAGCTGTAGATCCATGTATTTTTAACCTTGTCACTACAGGGAGGTGAGCAGTCAGCTCCTTGCAGCTGCTGTTTTATAACAGAGAAAGATACCTCAATACCCACTGGACAGGAAGCTGTATAGGCACCCTGGACATGGCAAAGAAAGAAATTCTCTTGCTCCTTCTGGAAAATAAATCCTGATCTCAGTGGTCCAGCCTGCAGCCCAGCATATTCAGACTAATGTGTCTAAGCTCAAATAATTTATTAAGCAAAAGCATCACACTTGTGTATGTCAGTGCAGTTATGGCAAGTCTGGTGTGATCCCACCTGTCAATCATGGTCATTGCACTTAGTGACAGACAGATGAATATCATGTAAGATTTGAGGCTTTCACGGCGGTGACTATGAAGAANATCTGAGTTTTTTAATGGGATAAGTACATTTTCAGATTTATTTTTTGACATCCTCTATTACATTTCTGATTTAATTCATTTCAATGTTTATGTGAAACATGTGACTTTACTACAAAATTCTATGGCTGCTACCTCTGAGTTACGTTACAGCATTTGTAGTGCGTATTGTTGTATGGGGGAAAATGTGAATCACCTTCATGTCTTGTTACCAGTGATGTGTGTGTGTGTATGTGTGTGCCACTTGGGAACCTTCCTTCTCTCACAAATACTTCACCAATGTACTCACTGTCATCCCCCTGAGATACAAACATGTCAAACGTTTTGGCTCTTTCCAGTTTTGTCTTCATTGGTGAGGCAGTCAGCTCCATCTCCATGCCTGCTGAGCAAACAAAGCAGTGTTGCAAACCTAACAGCTGCTATCAAGTGCATAGCAATGGTTCTTGGTGCCAACATAAAGTTCCTAAATGGACTGCCCCTAAGTACAGAGGAATGATGATTATGGGACCACAGTACCACAGACAATGGATGTGTTTGCTGATCCCCATGTTTCAGCTTGAAGACCACTCAATGCATTTTGGTGAGAATGGTACGAACTATGAACTAAAATTTGCTAGGAAACAATAACCCTCACTATACAAGAAGCCCATATTAACTTCTATCTTTTGTCTCAAAAGAAGTTCACAATTCTAATATGGAACTGTGCACAGCTTGTTAGATCAACACTTTTTTAATTTTAATGCAGGATGTCAAACCTGCTGTCTAATAATTGAAGTATAAGCAAAATCACAAGATTGTTATAAAGCTGATCTATTCACACATTGTGCTCAGACCAGAGACATCCGACACAAGGAGCTCAAATACATCTCACAGCCTTTTTTTTAATTCAATTTTTGCTGACATCAAATCCGAGTCAAACTGGGCAGTGGAACACCAACACCAATCAGTTTATTTCAAGACTACAACAAAAAGTTTTAGAATTAATCCCCTCAAAGCATAGTTGTTGCAATATGTACCACTTGTATTAACACCAAAAAAACCTGTAATCTGCCCACACCAGGTATTTACATGTTTTGTACAATTCTCATAATAAGTAGAAATGATTTCCCTAAACAGCATTAACTGGCTGGTCTTTGTATTCAAGACTGTTTTCTATGTGGTATATACTGAATAATAACACATTATTCTTCAAGATATTAAAAATATGAAAGATAACAGGTAGACTGAACACAATACAAAAGCAAAGACTGTGTACCTGGGAACAGCTGCTGCACAGACACATGACCATGACCTGTACAGACAAACTGAAAAGTAGTAGCAAATACCGAAATCAGCAGACACTCACAACGAATTAAAGAAATAAGCAGGGATATGGGACAAGGCCAGCATCAAGTGCTAAGTGCTATCAGTTACCTGCAGAACAAGAAGGGAAACTGACAACTCAAGGCTGAAGTTACTGCAGCCAAAGGAAAGTACTAGGACATCATGCAATGAAAAACATTTGTAGAGCAGTTTATTCAATCTGGAAAATCAATAGAAACATCAAACATTCCTTTTCCACAGAATGAAACTGTGTAGACTTTCTTTCTGGTGAAACTATTAACTTATGCAGCACATCAAATCATTCAAAAGAAACTATGTACAAAAATGATCGAACAGAATTAAAAATTAATTTCATTTGGACAAGCTCTCTGGTGGAGATTCTCCGGTTCAGGCACAGCCCTTCTCCAGCACATATGTCACCACGTGAACACAGCAACAGTAATTCTGCTTACAAAACCACATTTTTTGGGTGTATCTAAGGAAACAAAAACTGGCATTTCAAAAGGAAACTGTATTCACCTCTAGAACAGGATTGTGTCAAAGCATATCTACAGTATCAACTCAGAATAATTTTGCTACATTCAATAACATCAGCAGAGTCTTGAACTGAAGGATAGCATAAAATCCAAACTTTTCAAGAAACGCGATTACAATAAACGATACCAAAACAATGCACTGCACAAATGTTTTGAAAGACAGAAGTCACCAGGGTTTGGAATTTGGTCCAGGATTGACATACCAGGTCCATGACTGAACTACTTGTACATGAATGGAGCACAGTCTTCAGAAACTACACCCTGTAAGAAAACATGTTCCACTTTTCTAAATTGAATGTATTATTTACTTGCTCAAGACATATATGAAGTATCCCAAAAGTAACAGCTCAGCTTGAGAGGTGCTGCTTTTCTCAATCAGAAACTCCCGAATGACAAAAAGGAGCAGGGGCTTTAGCAATATGCAATATCTCAACTAGCCAAAGAAGAAACAAATACAGTGGAGTCATGCAGGTTTAATGACTAATAATAAATTACTTATGAGACATTTGTTATGTACTGAACACTGTTCCATATTCCCTTGAAAGCGTCATTATGAATTCCCTGCTCACCAGCTGATGATGTCTCATCTCCTTCACTGCCATCACCAGGCACATCTGTCTCACGCTCTCTGGATGTGCTCTTCTCCCTTGGATCAGTTCTCTGAGGCTTGCCATGTGCCACATCCTCTTCATCGTCCTCATCACCATCATCATTATCATCATCATCATCATCATCAGATACCTCTGCCTCATCATCCAAGAAAGCATTTTTCACCCTTTTCTTCTCCTTAAGCACTATGTCTTCCTCTTCCTCTTCCTCACTCTCTGTCTCTGCATCTGTCAGCTGCACCTGCAGTTCATCCTGCACATCCTCACACTTCGACAAGTGTTCTGAAACAGGCAGTTAAAGTCAGTGATCAGGGGTACAGTGGACCAGTCACTTTGAACAACAAGAGGATGAGTGCTGTGCTCATGTGTGTGTTGGATTGCACACACACACTTACACCACATGGATCCAACAGGACACCCATATCTTTAAAAAGCAGCAATTAGAAATGTATTAATCAGAAGATACAACAAAAAACACAAGATCCTTTTACGAATAGAACTTAAACACAATTTTTACCTATTTTATCATTATGACTGGATAATATATTATGACATGTTGCCTAAAAGCCAGAATAGTGAAGTCAGAGAAACACTGTAAAAACATCCCCTGCCAGGCAACAGTACATTACAACGTTTCCAAGGCAACAAATACACACACAACAATACAGAACTGTTGGAGGCAGTGTTCTGCATTCGGTGGCATGGGCCAGCAACAATTTCCCCAACTGATCGACAAAGTCGGAGCAGTCTCAGGATGTACTCAGAGTTGTGGGTCACAAAAACATGCTCATGGGTCCTGTGGGGCCCAAAATCAAGAATGACTGTCCTGGAGAAGGCCAGAAGTGAAGTGCCAGATCAGTCGCTAGCCGTCACGGACAAAGGCTCTTCAGTGTGGACAGAATCTCCTTTCCTGGAAGCTAACGCCAAGCAATGTATCATAGCAGATAGCTGACTGGAAAGACTTGAAATGTCCTGTAGCCAATTGTGTGAACTCTGCTGTATTAATGCCACAGCAGAGATGGGAATTACAAATTCGGGGGAACTGCTATGGTTTTCAATAAAAATGTGCAATGTGTTTGGAGCTAGTTTGATTTTATTTCTGAAACTCGCCAGTGCACTGTCCCCCACCTCCTCCTAAAATTAGAATAGAGTTACAATAGCCCTTGTACTCTGTCTGACCAATAATAATCTACTGGATGTCCCCTTCATTTTTCCTGCCAGCAACCTCACAGCAGCAATAAGCTGCATTCATTTGCTGACAGAGATCTCAAGATGACATTCAACAGGGCTGAACACATGAGATCCAAAATGACAGTAGCCCAGCCTCACGAGAGAACAATGCATGTAAGGCCAGTTCATAAGTTTCGATGCTTGTTACAAATAGGAAATGGGAGATAATTGCAGTTTGTGTAAATGACGATGACCTGATGTCAAGTGTCTTTATGTTCAACCTGTGCTAGTTCTGTACATCCACTACAATTAGTAGGTCTGGGCTTGACATGGTGAAACATCAGTTGTGGTGAACAAAGGGTGCTGGCCAAGTTCTCACCTTCCTCCTCATTGTCAAGTTGCTGCTCACGTAGACGCCTCCCCCACTCCTCTGCCCTGCGCTGTGCTATCTGCTGCTGGAGCTGCTCCTTCAGTTGCTGAAGTTTTTCCCCAGGCTTGGCCATTGCAGGGTCATCCTCAGGCTCCTCTGTCCCCAGTACAACCTTCACCACTTCTTTGTGCACCTCTGCCAAGCCATCCATGTCCTTCTCAGCACTGATCACTCTGCAGCATAGTCAGATGCCACAATCACTGTCTGCCCAGCCAAAACATTTACAAAGCCACACTCAAATCAGCATTGGAACTAATGAAATGCATATCTGGTGTCATCCCATCAAATCAGAACTATAATTTTATAGAGGTCCAAAATTTCTACTTTAAAGTTCCATAATTAAAAAAATAATACTTCAACTATAATTTCCAGAACTCAGTCCTATGTTGATCCCTGGAATGAGCTGTCATACCGGCCAGTGAAGAGCTACTGCACACATTAAATTTTACCTTCTCTTGCTTTATTTCAAACAAGGGTTGTGAGGGACATGACCCACCTGTGTGGCAGACAGATACAATGATCAAGGGACATACCCTACTTCAACAGTGTGTTTCTTCTGTAGAGGCCGCTTCACCGCAGAGTGCTTCATAAAGCGCTGCACCAGTTTCACCACTCCTGCAGGACCAGGCTCCTCTTCGTCCAGTTCTATGACGCCATTGGGAGCTGCGCTGAGCCGTGGCTGCAGCTTTGTGATGTCACCCATCCCAGGCAGACTTCTCCGAGCTAGACTTTGCAGTATTGCTTTTGCAGTGTCATCAACACCTTCACTGTGTGGAGAGGGAAGTGGCATATTCTCCTGCCAAGCAGTCGTCTTCTGCTTTTGCAGCTCTTCTGAAGGTTCACTGTCCTGTGTTTCTGAGTAGTGAAGAGTCAACTCCTCTGTGTTTCCCGCTTCCATGGCATTGCTCTCATCATGCGGAGCAGACTGAGTGACATCCTGCGACTCACTGTAATGCAGACACAAGTCAAAGCTATCCTCTGCCATAAGACTCTGTTCTGACTCTAACTTGTAGTTATCATTTGCTATCAGTATGCTGGAGAGACTCTTCGTCTCACTGCAGGGAACACGGACGTCAGCATCACTTTCTTCGGTGCATATACTTGCACTTCTGCCAGGTATACCAACTTTCGTGTGGCTGTCAGGAATTGTCATTTCATGGTTACTAGCCCTGATACCAACTTCCGTAGTTCCACTAATATCAGCAACACATATTTCACTATCACAAATGTTCATATCTCTGTTGGGAATACTGGCATCACTAACAGGAGTATTGTTGTGTACAGTGGGAGGAACACTGCAGCACATGTCAGCATCACAACTGCCATTAATACTGGGTCCATTTAAATATACAGTGTCATCACTGTCATCCGAATCGGACTTATAGAACTCCTTGGCATCTCTCTCCCTCTCTTCAAGCTTCTTCCTGCAACACACAAAAGAGGTCACTTGGTCTACCACAATGACTCAGCATTCCATCTAGCAGTGCTATCACAAAACTCACCAGACTTGGCCAAGATCTTTTGTAGACACCTTAAGTGACATAGCACTCGGAGTTGAAGCATTGCGACGCTGTAGGAATTCTGTAAGACTGCGCTGGCGAGGTTTGTGATAGGGTAGAGACACACGTGACTCCCGCACCAAGCGCTGCGTCTCACTGTGGATCTGCTGTACTGCTTTTGACTGCATTAGAACAAAGAAGGAACACATTCAACTCTTAATCATGCCCAGACATGTCCTTCAGATTTCACAAAATGATTACATAACCAAGCAAAACTAGTTATCTATCCTCTCACCTCCACCCGACAGGCTTGCATGTTATCAATTGCTCCACAACTAGCAGCAAACTGAACTGATGAACATCACACTTCCACTACAATAAGGAGAGGTCCAAACAAACTGTACTGCAAAATGTACTCAACACCTGCTGGAAACTATGTAATGGTTGAGTGATTCTTGCCACCATTTCAGTTATAAAAATTATGCTGTGTCAGACAAAATGTAGAAATGATCAGTGTCAAGTATCCCAGCATTCACATGCACTGATGGAGTCATGCCAGCTGCCTCCTGAACTAAAGTCTAGGCAGAAATACAACATACTGCTCTACCCTACAAAATAGCAGCAAATGTTTGAATCCTGACCAAGAGACAGGTCAGCCACCAAAGAGACGGATCAATTTGTCTAATCTGAAGATCAGAATAGGTCAAAGGGCCCAAACCCTGCAGCTGATGATGATAATCATGACAGTGAACAAGAAATAGCTTCCTTGTCACCCAAGGCCCCAACATGAGGCCCACTCACCTTGGTCTTCCTCTCAGACAGAGATCTGCCCTTGGGTTTGGACTTTCCAGTGGACTTCTGTTTGGGGGCTGCCTCATCCTCAGACCCATCTGCATCATACAAGTCACCCTCTTTCAAAAGACTGAAGTGCAACAGAGGACCATGCCCCATACTGTCTCCAGGGGACTCATCATCTGATCCCTCTGCATTCTTTGCCACAGACAAAAGACCACTGGGAGTCTCTTCATCCAAGCTGCAATCGCTGTCAAGCAAAATTTTCCATTTTTTCTTTTTCTTCTTGGTGTCTACTTCACCATGCACTGCCTCCTCCATGAGATCTCTTGAATCACTTCTGAGATCATCTCTGGATGGTTCTTTATCAAGTTCAGTGCTGCTAATGGAGTTGCACATCTTTAGAATATCTGCATCTGTGGCTGCCTCATCATCACTCTCCACCATAATCTTTTGCCTTAAAGACCGCCTCTTTACGACAACACCCTCATCTTCAGATGAGTTCAGCTCCACAGAAACACCTGCCACCATGATGGGCAAACTGCAACAATCCAACTACAAGCCAGATGTCATGGGAACAGTTGCAAGTATGCCTATACTATATATATATATATATATACTTAAGAAAATCACTACATTTCTCAGTTCCACTACAGTTGTGGGTTAGGTAACATTCACATGTACGAGCATATGGTATGTTGTTCAGCAAAGTAATGGAGCCTAAGTTCGTGTCCTGACTGCTGTCAGTTGCATAAGCCAAATACTTTCTTTCACAAACCCCTAACAATATATTATAGTACTTTGTAAACTGCAGTCTACTTGTTAACTCAACGTAAAAACAAGGAGGAATTTACAACCTTCTGTGAAGCCATTTTTAGTACTTTTAGAAAACAATAGGAGTATAATTCTATGGGAGCCAAGTGCAGATGAGCCAACAGAAGTCAACTGTACGATTAAACATAAGCACCATATTTAGTAGAGTCAGTTACGTTCTACTGCTAACAGAAGCTTAACTGCAACCTAACTTTATCGCATTCGACTGCCGTCATTGAAATCGAAATAAACCTTGCCTTGAAACACGTTTACAAAAATAAGTTGATTGTTGGGAAGCCAATGCAATATTATCTTTGTAGCTATTAATATATAGTTAAACTAATGCAGATAGTAATTATAAACTACATACATTTACATTAAATAACCAATTTTATCTAACACAAGCTTGAAATTAGGGACTTGGTTATTACCAATTTCACTTCCCTAAATTGTACCGCGCAAACTGCTAGATTATATCCTCACCCACAAGATGTCAGCACGGTCAGCACTGACTGAGCAGACTTACTACTTCCTATTCCCTCAGCTGTGTTACCAACATCGACGACATCGACTAACATAATCACGTGGCTTACGTGTGAAATATGTTTGGTGTCTGTGGGTGAGAAAGTCTAATACTTCTAGTCATGAGTTTAAAGTTATTTCCCTTAGGAATCGTAAATCCAACAAGCAAGCAGCCCAGTGGAGCAGTTATATTTTTCCATGGCTCTGGTAATAATACCAACGAATTTAACATTGAAGAAACGCGAAACAACCAGCTTTTGATTACAAACATATGACACTGTTATCTACGGATCAGCTTGCCATTAACAATTAAAAAAGAAATTTCTCGTGATCTAGGAACCGAATACGGTTGTTTAATTTCTGAGACCTGCAAGAGAAATATCAGTGTTACAATTTGCATAACCAAATATCAGTGTATTTGTTTTCGTTACGAATTCTGCTTTTGATACTATTACAACTTCTATAACCTTAACGATTTCAGTTATGATTGTTTTTGCTGAAGCATTGTATAAAATTAGCACGTTTATAATTTCACAAGAAATAAAATCATTTATTACCAACTGAAATAGCAAATCATCCTTTATTTCTGTTATGTTTATATTTGTGGACATACAAAGTGGACTGAAGAGTCATCATGAACAGTTTCAGAATCCATCATTAAATAGCCCTATTATTATAGTGATAGTATTCTGCACATTCAAAATAAGGCATAGGTTGAAACAGGAATCTAACAGTTGAGAAGGGGGCGACCTTCCAGCCTGAGAGGTACCTAGGTAGAGGGCAAGCAACTTTGACCATTAAATGCTCAGAAATGCAGTAATATATTGTCATCAAAACCTTAACGACTAACAGTGTTTGAGTGATGTGAGAATTGGTAAGGTAAAAAAGGTGACACTTTCCCTGTGCTTAATTAAGCACTACACCATGGAGGCATATGGGGGAGTGGATGTATAGGTCCACATTTTCTTGACCTCAGCATTAGTTATAGGTGAGTGGTCAGCTTCATGCCCTGGTCTCTCTATCCCCAGTATCCATTGGATAGGAGGCTGGGTAGACCCCAGAACCAGTCTGGGCAACATGGAGAAAAAATTCTTGACCCTACTGGGACTCAAACTCCCAATTCGTTGGTCATCCAGTCTGTAGCCAGCCACTATTCCTCTTCAACATGAGAATTGGTACTTGAAATATTAGTGTGTATAGGATAGGTGCTTGGGGCACTGGTTATGGAGATGATGACCATTTTGGGTGTAGTAGGATACAGGTTAGGTCAGTTTATCATAGGAGCTTAAAACTGATATTTTGATGAAAGATGTCAAATTTCTCAATGTGATAATGTCATTCTTGAGCCCACGTGCAATATTAGTATTCTTCAATAATAGATAAAAGTGATGGTTTCATGGCCAGCTATCGTGATGGATCACGACACGTTTATAATTTCATGAACACTGTTTAAGTCATAATGGATCATTTGAATTCATTTCAAAATTTAAATATCTGAGAACAATAAATATAAATGAGGTTCATGATGAAATTTGATGAATACATTTTAGTGATGCTTGTTATTTATTCAGTTCATAAACAACCATTACATTTAATTTTGAAGGCACTAAAGTCCAGGAGACACTAAACAAGAAGTATGACAGTTTAGGTCTCTTTGACAGAACAATGTTAAGTCAGGAAATGTGCAATTTAGGATGTTATATGAGGAACTCACTGTCATGTTGTTTGGGCACTGAAATCTCAGAAGGCATGATGGTCTAAGAAGCTGTTGGCTAGGATAAGGTTCAAAAATGCCTAGTATGAACTCCCACCACTGGACACAATTCTGAGTCATTCTCCTTCACCTTCCATCATCAAAACTAATTTCCCTATGCTGTTTTTTTTTTCTTTCCTTTTCATGCGACAGTTTTCCAGGAGTTTGCCCCTCCCCCCACCCTGCTGCAGGGTTCTACTAATAAAAGTTTGTGGTAACATTGCAGCCAACAGTGATATCACCTCCATATCAATTTTATGAAGTAAAGCTGATTGCAGAAAGTATGCAGATATACCGATGCTTTGTTGCAGGAGACACTGGTAAGGGGGCATGCGAGTGGCTCAAGTTCTTGCTTAGGAAAGACTTTCAATTCCCACACTTGAAAATTCTCTTTCCTACAGCTCCACAGCGTCCGTATACACCACTGAATGGGGAGGTGAGAATGTAAATATCATTGGGAACATAATATTAAAATGGAAATAATTTATACCCAGACAAAATGTGCTTAGGATGGGCAGAGTCTAAGTTTGAACACCATCCTTAGTTTGTGGCAATGTAATCAGTGCATGTAAACATACAAAAATAAGGCCATAAACTTCTGGTAAATATTTAAAGTTCAATAAGGAACATTTAATACAAAATTTGAAATTTTGAACATAATCCTCTATAAGTTAATGTGGTTACAAGGGGAGAAAAACGATTCATAAAACTGCTGTACACACTTGTAACCAAGCTATGTTTCCTGTGTCTAAAACATGAAGCCACGACACACAACCTGAAACTCTAAAAACAAGCTTTTTCATGCACTATTTGTGTGTAACCTAACAGTTTACTTCCATGAACTTGAATAACAAATCACTGGTTGAGAACTGTATTATTCTGTGCTGTTCTCACCTCAGAAATTCTCATGGAATGAAGTTGTACGCTCTGAGGCTTGCTTATCCACATAAACTAAGTACAGGTCACCATGCATTTCCAGCTGAGCCATGTCTGGTTTGATCGTATCAGCATCTCCCCTGATGCACCAGAGCACACAGATACCCTAGAGTGCACAGCAAAGGATGTTGTAAACTTCATTCAGCAGGAAATAGTGAATGCTGGCATCCCTGAGAGTCACATAATAGTTGGTAAGATAGCCTGACTGCAAGAGTTTGAGTTTTTACTTATTAAGAGCCAGTAACTATACAAGTATGTACATTACATGACAGGTGGATTCTCAATGGGTGGAGCTCTTGCGATGCACATTGGGTTCCGACTGATGCCAAACGTTGCAGGAGTTTTTGCCCTTTCATCTTTCCTTAGTCACACTTCATCTGTGTACCAGGTGAGGCAATATAACAGATTTCTGCACACCAGTATGGGTGGATTACACATGCCATGATGCCTGCCCCAGTGCCAAACTTATGAATTTTAAGTTTGTGCCATTGTAAAGAAACACTAATATTAGTTAGAGAGGACATGACTGTGAAATTGAGAAAATGTAACTTCCTTTTGCACTTATTGCATTCTCTAGGTTACAGATCTTGTGCCTGTTACAGAGTCTTGGAAGCATACCACAAGAAGTCATCACTATGCCACCCTTGTTCATGTGTCATGGTAACAGAGACACCCTGGTCCCCTATGAGTGGGGTGAGCATACGTTCAAACGACTCAAGCAACTAGGAGTGGATGGGGAGTTCCACTCTATTTCAAATGCACTCCACGAAATGAAAGAGAAGGAACTGAAGCAGCTGTATGAGTGGATCAACCAGCGCCTTCCACCGGCAGTCTGACTGCAGCAACTGTAGCAATGGATCAACTGATGTCTCCTACCACCAGTCTGGCTGCAGAATAGATGTTCTGTGTAACATTCTGGCTTTAGTACAAGAATAAACAATTCTTGTGATTTCTTCACTTGAGAGGCTTCAAATTCAAGAGATCCTTAGCTCATATCATATAATCATTCCATCCACATTCTTACTTAATACAGAGAGATGTTGTTAACCCATTGGCATTGTGGGACCAGCCTCCAATATATTCAGGGTGCTATTCTCACAGAAAGATACTCCAAAGTGCCAATACTCTACCTTGCTATAAAGTATACCTCCAGGTAAAAGCTTTAGATTTGTTGTGAAGATAACTGGAAGGGTTAGATTTGTGGCATAACGAGTTTTGCAGATATCCAGTCCCAGCTACTTAGAGTGAAGGTCAAGTACTCTAAGTAGCTGGGACTAAACACCTGCACACATGTATCAGTGTATGCACTAAAAATTAGTTCTATGTCTAGTGCAAGGCCTCCATAACAGATCGCCAAGCACTGTACAGCTTCTTGGTAATGGGGTGAGATCTAAAATGCCCTGGTTGCTATGGCAGAAGGGAAACACACTCAGGAGACCCCCAGTTGACAACTGATTGGAAAGACAATACTCATGCATTGTTCAATGGTACCTGCTTCACAGTAATTCTTAAAGTGGGTGCTGAAATTAGTGACAAACGTTTTGTTCAGTAATAACTTAGGGGGGAATTAATCAAAAGACATATCATTCATTTTGATCACAAAGCAGGTGATTAACAGAAGTAAAGATGCAAGCATTCAACAGTGAGGCAATTACTTAGTCAGTCAATCTAGAAATCAAAGGAAAATGAGTTATGGTCAGCATTACTTTATGCATTACTTGAGAGGGGGGGGGGGGCATGCGTGCGCGTGTGTGTGTACACCATACAGTGAATAATAAAGTGATTGGTGCTGTGAAGCTTGTTTGTCTCACATCAGGTTCTGCACTTTCCCGTCCTTCCAGACTTCACAAGTCCCGTGTGCCATTCAACCTGTCTCAGCACCCTAAGCTCCAGTGTTTGACCTGGCATCCTTAAAGAGAATTATAACCATGACATGAGAGGTAACTTAGAAAGCAATTATCAATATAAGTTTACCAATTTAAGTGACTGTCAATCTGTAAACCAAGCAATTTTGAGTTTACTGACTCTTCTACATATTTGTCGTCGTAACCACCATTTAATTTTGCATCTCTGGAAAACTTAGATGATGAGGTGGATATTAACAGAGCTTGGAAAACTAACAGAATATAAACGTTTCAGCCACCGAGAGTGTAAGCTATTAACCCTTTGACGTGGTCATTTAAATTCCGCGGCCGCGGCTCCTGCGGTAATATATTCAGCCGGCCATTTAAATTTTGCTCGAAAATTATTTATTCATCATTGTTCTTAAATTCTATGAGATAGGAACATGAAACTTTCACTAAAATGATCTTAAAAGGTGGTTTTATAACCTTACCTTATAATATGAACCCCCTTTATATCTTCAATGGAAGCA